TGGGACAGGGGATGAGGGGGCTTCCGTGTCTGGGAGCACTGACTACCTGTCTCTGGGTTTTTCCCAGCATGGGACCTGCACCCCTGTGCCATGAGACACCCATCCACTCCCTAGCTCAGCAAGGTCCAGTTCTGTCAGTGGGTCAGATACGGTCTGTTGACTGAAGGCTTTGGCTGATAGTTATCCCAACAAAGAAGCCGTTTGACACGACATTTTGTAGACAATGACCACCATGTAACTGTCATCTCAGGTAAAAATTTAATCTGGAAAATTCTTAGCATTCATTCAACACAACTTGGCATCATTTAAAGTGTCTGTGCAAAACTCTTGGTAATTATAAGAACTGACATGGCTGTATGGCACACACCAGTGAGCACAGGGATAGGGAGGATCAAGCTGGAGGGTTGTAGTGAGTTCTTGGTCAACAGAGGAAGATCTTGTCTTAAAACCCAAATAAACGAGGCTGGAAAGATGGCCCAGCAGTTAAGAGCACTTGTTGCTCTTGTAGAGGACCCGAGTTTGGTTCCCAGCACTCACATAGTGGCTCACAACCATCCATAACTCCAGTTCCAGGGGATCCTGGTCCTCCTCTGACCTCCTCAGGCACCAGGCATGCACATGGTGCAAATCCACCCATGCAGGCAAACGCCCATATGCATAAATAAATGAAACTAAAAACACTAAAAACCTAAATAAACATAGATAAACAGGAGCTGATAACCATCTCCTCCTGCCTGGGCACATGAGGACACTTCACCATTCACAGGGTGGCCCGATCCCGCCTCACATTTGAGGAGTCTAAGAAGCAGATGGGAAAAAAAAAAATCACACAGCTCTGCCACATCCCGTGTGGCACAAGGTGTCACTGCCCATGTGGGTGGCCAAATCTCACACTTAAAGGGGACCCTCCGCCACAGCAGTCATGATGGCCACAGCTGCATCCGAGTCTTCGATAACCCATTGCTTCCAGTGTGCCCCCTTACTGTAGGCTGACTCACACAACGGGAAACGGAGAGACGGGTGCATGCAAACATCTCTGGTGAATATGTTTTCCTTCAACACGGAACACATGCAGGTCCATGTCCATCACCTGAACATCCTTCTAACTTTCAGGAGGATTTGACCTCACCTGTGTGTGTCTCTGACACACATGAAATGATAAGGCCGGCCGTGGAAGGGAGGTGTGACCCGGAGATTAAACTATCCTTGCCCACGCCACCTGTCAAGCTTGGGCAGCTGGTGCACATGTCAAGCTGAGCCTCGGGGCCCCAGACAGTCCGGAACCAGTCACTCCTACAGAGCAGTGGCGCCCTCTTCTGGTGACTGTTGCTAGAGTAAATTATGGATGTTGCAACTGCTCATTTCAGGGAGGGCCCGCCCAGTAGCAGCCCTGTTTTGAGAGCTTGGTAGGAAGCAGGTGGGGGCCTGTGGCCTTTCTTCTCCATGGCCTCCAAATGACAGGATGGTATGTGACATGTGTGTGGGTGTGTGGCTCAACAAAGTTTAAAAACTGGCCGGTTGAAAAATAGCCTGGTTCCTTAAACTGGGGACAACCTAGTTCTCTAGGCTACTGTGCCCTGCAACATTTCCTTCCTCCTGGGTAGCCAGGCAACCAGGCCTGAGGTGTAACCACAATGCTGTCAGAGGAAGAAGACAGGGAGAGAGATTTAGCATTGTGTCTGCTGACACTCCCTTGAGACTGAAGCAACCTTCCTGTGGTATTTTGCCCATTACCATGAAGTCTCAAGGCTTATACACTGCTGCTTAACCAAGGAGTGCCCCTGGCCTGGAAAAGGCCCAGAGGAAGTGTGTCTGGATTCAGTTGACTGACTTAGTTTGTGGCTTAGAGCTATGAGGCGTAGCGTGTGTGCCTAGTCAACCCTGCCCGCACACTTCTCCATGGTGTCCAGTTCGTCCCATCCAGGGGCTCCTTCTTAATGGAAATAGTACCCCACCCCCACCATGATGTCCAACATCCTTGGTGTGTGTCCTGCTAACGGAGATAGGTTTCACTACCTTCTACATCCTTTACCTGTTCTTCTGATGTAAAAAATGAAATGTTCTCTGAGAGCATAAAGATGCCCATGGTTCACAAAACATAAGGGCTTGCTTTCCTGAGCCTTCTGGGCAGTTAGAGAAGTGTTTATGAAGTGGAGGGGGCTGGTTTCACTGGGAGCCACGTCTGTACCACCATCAGTTTATAAAGAATTCTCCTCTAAGGGATGGCTCAATTGGTCACAGTCAATGGGACCCACGTGTTGGAAAAGAGAGTCAACTTCCAAAAGGTTGCCCTCCTCTGAAATCTACCAAGACACACACACACACACACACACACACACACACACACACACACCCCACACACACTCACATACCTGACCTACACTATACACATACACACACACCACACACACACACACACACACACACACACACACACACACGCACGCACGCACATACACACATATACGCACACGCACGCACCACACCAAAAACAAAAGTCCCAAACAGACAGACAAAAAACCCAGCCAAGGTCGTCTGAGCTTTCTTTCCCCATCTGTCCTCTTTCCTCTTTAGCCTGGAGTTTCCGTAGATGCCAGAGAAGGGCAGGAGGCAAGGTTACCAAGTTCAAGGGCAGCGGCTCAGCCGCTCACCAGGCAGGTCCTCGTCTGCGTCACTCGGGATGGCTGAGGACCCAGGGTACGCAAACCCTCCCGGCCTCCTGACTCAGGCTTGTGTGAACCTAGCACATCCAAGGCAGCAGGATCCTCACACGCCCTTGGGCTCTGACTCATGCAGGACCAGAGTGAGCAGTGCATGCGTGAGGGTGACTCGGATCTTACTGCAGGCTGCAGTGTGGGAGCTGCCAACAGCCTTCATGCCGCAGGCACTCCTGTCCCAGGTCACCGTGGAGGGACCCGTCGCTTCTGCATTGCCATTGGCTCCCGCCTTCTAGCCAGGAAACTGTCCCCCGCCCAGGCCACCTCACAGCTTCAGGAATCTGCATTCACACAATTCACAGAGGGGACTCACAGAGGCTTTTATAGCATATAGTTCATGTGTTACATACATTTTGTGTGTGTGTATACACACATACTCACACACACATGATGGTAAAGTAAGGGTTACTATGATTATAAATAAGCTGAAAGGCAATTAACTAGGACTAGATCCACAGCTCAGTGGTAAAGCACTCACCTAGCACGCATTCAGCTCCTGAGCTCAATTCCTAGCACAACATAACAGCCCAACAAATACTGAAGACGACACTCGCTTAAAGAGAATGTAAGGCCAGGCATCCACACGTGGCGCTTCCTTTGGACCTCTGATGTGCCTCTGTGTGTACAGATGCACACTAGTTCTGTGTCCACACTTGGAAAGCACAAGTAAAGAAACCCTAAGCATCGTGCAGCCTGACGTTGTGTTCTGTACCGTGCCTCGCCCTGAATATTTTAAATTGCGTATCTTGCCGTCATGTACCCACACTACATGTCTTCTTCTCTTCCCTCTGCCCAGCCCCCGGGAGCTACTAAAAAAATGAACACCCCAGTTCCTAAAGGCAGGAATGCCCCCCAAAATTCCCGTGGAAATGGGCACAGCTAAAGAAATCGGGAAAGCCCCAGCCCCTGTTGGTCTGCATCCCTCACGCTTCTCGCTCACACTCCCGGTTTTCAGTCTTAGGGTCGCATTGTTCCCAGACACTTTTCAACCATGGTGTTTGCTCAAGAAGGACAAAGCCCAGAAGGAAGGAATGTTGAAGAAACCAAGTTAACCAAAACGAGCAGTAACAAAACACCAGGGTAGATGGCACTGCCGGGTGGGGGAAGTGTGAGGAAGGCCTTTGCATCAGCAAGTGGGGGCCAGGACAGGGAGTGTCCCAGGGTTGCCGGCCTTGAGTGACCGAAACCCTGAAACCGAGGCTGCATGGCCGGGGCTATGATCCCTGCGGGGCCTGGCTGCTGTTGCCTCTGAGACAGTGGGCTCCTAGCACCTCGCTTCTTCTGGGCCACGCTCCCCTTCCCCTGTCTCCCTAAGCGAAAGAAGACATCAGTGTCCCTCGGCACGGGCCAGCTGCGGGAGCCCACATGGGAGGGAAGTCATGGGAGCGATAACCACATTCCACACAAATCAGATGAGGGTGTTTGTCCCCTCTGAGAAGTAGGAAGAAACAGAAACCCACGTGCGGGGCGATGTGTATTCATGAGGCAACAGGAAGGTAGCATTTCACAGACCACAGTTATTCCCAACATCAGCTGAGTCACCGGCTGCAGCCAGCCCGAGGACAGCAGTGCACAGGCTTTGGCAAGCTTACTTCCTTGTTATGACATTGTGGGGACTTGCTGACGTCCCCACGGGCTGGCACAGAGAGAGAGAGAGAGAGAGAGAGAGAGAGAGAGAGAGAGAGAGAGAGAGAGAGACTTAGGGCTATAGAGAGCAAACCTGAACACAAAATAAAACGGAATCCCGGGTCACAGGGGAGAGGGGTCTGCAGGAGGGTGGCGAGGAGGTCCGTTCTCCACACCACTGCACAGATGTTTACAAATGAAGATGGAGGTTGGGGAGATAGTCCCATGGGTAAGTGACTTGGTGCACAAACGTGGGGACCTGAGTTTGGATCTCTAGATCCATGTAAAACCACGTGCAATAGTGCACACCTGTAATTCCAGTGCCAAGAGAAGGGGATGGAGGCGGGGTCGGCCCTCTGGAAGCTCATGGACAGTTATCCTGGGGTATGCATGCAGTGGTGAACCAGATACCCTGTTTCACATAAGGTGGGGGGTGAGGTTGTCCCCTGACCTCCACACATGCCTGGTGTCGCATGCGAGCTCGTAGTCACATGTGGCAACACACAGACACACACACGAAGACAAAACCAAACCAAACCAGAAACAACAACAATAACAAAAAACCCGGAGAGAAGGGTGGGAATCCCCCTGAGAGAATGCGTGGACTCACAGTCCGCACACAGCGGGGGGGCCCGTCCCCTCTCTGCCGCTACATACCAAACACGTCACTGTCTTCCGAGGCTGTCTGAGAAAGTTTGCCCACGCTTCTCTTTTTTTCAGCCTCTCCTCGGGGAAGCTCACCATCCTGGAAAAAGACAACACACAACACACGCAGTTAGACACATGCAGATACACTGTCGGCAAGAAAACGATCTTCACGCACTGTCTTCAAGTGGCCGGTGGGGCTCAGCTCCGGGTCAGACTCAGGTGAGTTAACACAGGGGTAGTGCTCTGCCTAACCACACACATGTGCTAGGGGTCCCAAGTTTCACAAGAGAGGGTGCCAGGGTCAGCCTGGATAGAATACAGTGGCCCGGCAATTCCTGTTTGCAGATGGGTTGCCTATGTGGGCACTCTCAGATTTCAAATGGCTTCCAGAGCTTTGAGGTCTAGGTAAGGCTAATCAGGAGCTTATCAGGACTCTGGGGACAGTACCAAGGCTAACACTCAGAGATGCCTTGTGTTCCTGTGAGGTGGGGAAAAGCCCACTGTGGGAGGGTTGGGTTGCCCCTGACTAGGTGGCCTGGCACTCCTGGGGATGACAGGATGAGGTGGGGAGGGTCGTTTCTCGGCCTGCTCTTTGGGATCCTGTTGAAGCTCTTGATACAAGCATGGCTATACAAGATTCATTATATTACTTGTTTTATTTTATTTTGTGTGTCTGTGTGGGTGTACATGTACGTGTGTGAAGGTCCAGAGGTCACCTTTGGGTGCCCTTCCTCAGGAACCATCTACCTCATTCTTTGCGACAGTGTCTCCCATTGGCTGGAAGGCTGCCGATTAGGCTAGCCGGGCTGGTCAGCAAGCCCTAGGGATCCCCCGACTCCATCTCTCTAGCACTGTGATTACAAGCAGGGGCACCGTTACTTGCTTTTTTAAAAAGTGATTTTGGTTTGGTGAAAACAGGGTTTCACTATACAGCCTGGCTAGCCCGGAACTTGTAGGCAGGTCTTGAACTTGTGACCACCTTCCCACCTCTGCCTCCCAAGTACCAGATAACCCAAGTTCACCCCCACGCTTGGCTTCCGAACGGTTGTATTTGAATCTGAATGTTTAGTCTGTAGTTTACTCACAAGTGTAGGGAGCAGACAGGGTCCCGTTTCTCTACGTGTGTGTGTGTAATCATGTCACTGGTTAATTTTAATGTGTCATATTCATGCAGCATATCAAATTCAGACCCAGCCTGGTGGTTGTGTAGGACTGAATCCTGCTCCCCTTCCTATCTCCCTGCAGTCCTCAGGAAGTGAATCCCTGGGCTGGTTTGCCCCAGCCTACAGCCACTTCTGGGGCCCTTGTCCATCATGATGATAGCCCTGCTGGGCCGCCCTGGAGACCCTCCTGTTCATTCCCATCTTAGCTGGTGCTGGGTCAACTCTGGGTGACGTGTCACAGCCACAGCACCTACGGGCAGGGAAACTCCTGCAGCCGAGAGAACAGGCTGGCACCCTTTCCAGAGCCAGCATCACCGGACCCCTGTGTGCTTGTCTGCCTGCCCCCAAGGCACAGCCCTTGTGCTCCCAGCTCAGCCCCTCCAGTCCTAAGGGCCTTCAGGCTATGTCAGATACACAGCCTCTCTCTCTCTCTCTCTCTCTCTCTCTCTCTCTCTCTCTCTCTCTCTCTCTCTCTCTCTCGTTCTTTCCTCAAAGGGGGTGGGGACCAGGGGGTAGGCAGCGACTGAGATAACAAGCCCTAGGGTCAGATGCTAGGTGTCTACTGACTTGTGTATTAGCCATGTTACCTTGAGCATATACTTGACCTCTCTGTGCCTCAGTGTCCTTTTCTATAAAAGAAAGGAAATGCTAATATTGCTTGGCCTGGTGTTCAGAAGCAAGCATTAGCGGAATTCATTTACACAAAGCGCTTAGAATTTGCCTGGTACAAAGAAACTGTTGCTCTAACAAATGAGATGGTCTAGAGGTGGACGTCTCCCGGGCACGCCAGCCCCTGGTGCCTGCGGCTCTTATTAGCTTGGCTCTGTGTTTTTATCTTTTGGTGGGGGTGGGGTAGGGATGGGGATGGTGTGGCCTGGCTCCCCTTTCTTGGTCTTCTGTTCCCTTGCTCCAGCATTGCTCAGTGAGGGTGAGCTACATCTGCGAGGCCAGAGAGCAAGTCCAAGAACTTCCACCACCCAACAAGTCACCCACGCACCCCATCTTCAGGATGCATGGGATGCTGCTGTCTAGAGAGGCAAACTGGATGCAGAAGCAGAGGTGGAGCTCCAGGGTCCTTGGCTGTGACCACCAATGCTGCCTGAGTGACTGATGGGAAATCACCTGATATTTCCTGTCCCTGGAACTCCCCGACCCCACCCACACGGGGACTCTCTTGGTAGGTGGTGGGAACCGAGTTTGATGCACGCCATGAAGATGAGCTCGACTGATGTGTGAGCCTGAAGTCAGGTTTAGACCTGCAGTGCTGCATTGGTGGTGACAGGGATGTACACGTACGTGCTCTGGGTGGGTGGTGATACAGGGGCAGGGTGGCAGGGTGCTAACATCCCACAGCAGCCAGGTGGTTCATCTCTGGAGGAACCAGCTGCAGCATCTGTCCGACGGGCCGTGGATGAGATGGGTGAGAGCCATGGCCAAGGCTGTGGATGCTCACAGTCTGTGTTACCGAGGGTAAGGCACACCTGCAAGCCTCCCCACGGCCACTATCCCACAAGCTGATGTTGTCTATGCGGTTAACCTACAGACTAGCTGCCAACGTTCACACGTGACTGTTGAGGCCGGCGCTAGCAGACACACGAAGCTTCCTACCGGATAGTCACATCCATTACACTTCCTGCTTCACTTGGTAACGAGTCTTACCTCTTTTTTTGTTTTCCAACAAACTTTATTCCTAGGGTCTTTGGCATCTGTCACCTTCCCCAAATTCGCTCCAACTCTGTTAACTGCTACACTCTGCTCCCTTCTGAGCGTTCCACGTCCCTTAAAATACATGTCTCTGTTCTAACTTCCGGCGTCTGGGTGAGGTTGCACGGAAATCAGGCCTTTCACAGAGGTAGGAAAGTTAGGGGATCACGGTAGTCTAGTGTGGCCTGATCTGGCGATTGGCATCCTTGTCACCGGGGAAGCACATGCAGAAGAAACGGTGGTGACAGAGACACAAGCCAGGACACTTGAAAGACAATGGGCCACCTGGAGCCAGGGAAGGCAGGGAGACATCCCTCTGGCCTTTCAGAACAGCCAGCAGGTGCCTAACCCTTCGGTAAGAGCAAAGTCTGGTGCGTCCATTTCTGATTTATGTGACTGCTGTTGAAGCCACAAGAAGCTAAGCCAGGCTCAGACCAGGGCTGGCACCCAGCCAGAGACGGCGGAGAAAGGAGGAGCGAGTTTGGGTACTAAGGAGTTTCTAGACTCCTAACACATCACCAGCCCGTAAGCAGTCTCATTTTTCTCTGCGAGAAAAACATGAAATGGAAACTTCAGTGAACTTTGACCTTCAAATGTCAGGCAGCCGCTTCCCATGGGCTCTGAGGGGGCCTCGCGTGAGGTCTGGGAGGTGGGACCGGTGCTCCAAGCCTCATGTCCATCTTCGTCCTTCCCAGAACCTGCTGCTCACTGTGGCTCTTCATGAGACCCCCGGCAAGGAACAAAGGAGAAGGAGCTGGAGCCGGCAAACACGGTGGAGGAGCCTGGTGTGACTCAGGACCAGTCACCCGGTCACACGCTCCTTGGTAATCAGGGTCCAGACACCTGGGTGATACGCCCACCGCAGAGGAGCGTCACTTGCTATCCAAAGGCATCTAGGGGGTACAGCCACTAGCATACCATGTGGGTGCACACATAGGCACCCACGCCTGCGCACGTACACTCATGCATACGCTCACCAACAGCGTATCTAGGGATATTCACTCACCAGTAGCAGGTTGTCCTCTTTGCATTTTTGGAGGATTAATGGCTTGGTGGTGACAAATTTGGGGGGAATGGTCAGATGACTTGTTTCTACATCCTGTATAAAGTTCTGGAAGGTAGCTGAAGAGGCTCTGGGAGGGGAGGATGCTACAGCGTTCTGACTCAGACTGGAGAACACTCAGGGGAGCCGTGATGTCAAGACATGTCCCAGAGCAGCGCACTGAAGAACCGGTTGTGTGTTGAACTCTGAGCCACGGCCAACACAGACTCTCCGACTTAGAAAACACACGCAAGCTTGGATTTTGAGAGTTTTGAATCCCTTTAGAACCCAGTGGGCCAATAAGGATCAGGCTCTGGACAGAAGTGAAGCTCTCACCTTCCACCTGGGATGCCAAGACTTTGGCTACCCTGAGGCATCTGTGTCTAATACCTAGAGCCCCAAAGCAGCAGCTAGCATTCGGGGTAGGGGTGTTCACTTAGCGCCCCGGGAGGCTGGACAGGGGACCACACAGCTGCAGCCAGCAGGGCAGACAAGCCTAGCCTGTGTATGTGCTCTGACAACGTCACTTCATGTAGAAACAAATGTCAGGGGGCTGGAGATGGGCCTCAGTCGGCAGAGTGCTTGCCCGGCATACATGAAGCCCTGGGTTCGATCCCCTGCAGTACACAAACGGGGTGTGGTGGTGCACACATGTAATCTCAGACCGAGGAGGTACAGGCAGGAGGGGCCAAGATTCAAGGTTGTCCTTGGCCACATACACAGTGAGCTCAGGGCCACATGAGATCCTGTCTGCAAACAAACAATGTCTAAACAAACATGAGTGCCTGAAAAAAAAATTTTTCCCCCAGGGGATCAGGGGAGAATAAACATTAAACTATATGAAGACTATTCATCAGAGCTTATGAGATTTGTACCCTTCCTTCTCTACATCTGGGATAAAGAGGATGAGGGGGCAGGGGCTGGTCTTCTCACAAGTCTCCACAAGCAGTGACCCATCTACTAGCCGTGGGGTAAAGAGGGTGTGGGACCCTTCTTTTCAGAAGGGTGACAAAGCTTCCAGTGGGTTCTGGCTGGCAGATCCTGTTATCCCCCTCCCAGTGGTCACTGGGTGCCTTGGCTGGAGCCATAGCTCGCAAGCACACACTCAACTCAGACCTCTTGGCTCCTGGCCTTGCCTGTGGCTGAGAGCTGGGGACTCTGACATGTGCGCAGTCACAGGGCTGTGGA